CCCGACAGCACCGGGGCTGGCATCACCCACCCCCATGGGAGCTGTGTAACAGYAGAGGAACCGTAGTGACACTCCAGATACCCCATCCAGCCCCGAACACTGCCAGCCCTCAGCACACACAGATCACTCACCCACAGAGCACACAGCCTCCAGCCCCGATCCGCTTGCTCACAACCTCTATTCCCTCATTTTCAGATGGTTTCGGTGATGCTCACTTGGTGCTCCAGATTCAGGCTGCTCTCAAGCACTGTGCTGAATGCTCGGGCCAGTGAACCTATTTCCTCTGCAAGAGGAAAGCCTTCAGGGARGAAGCCCTGTCATCTTCATCCCTGTGCCATGCACCGTGTTATAAGCCAGGCCCAGGAGTGATGACGCCCGGGAGAGGGAACAGGAATGGGAGAGACGGGGTCTGGGAGCCAGAGAGCACGACCTCTGGGACTGGCACTGGGCAGAGCGAGGGAAAATGAGGAGGAATCCCACTGCCTGAGCAAGGGAGTGCAGAGCCCACTGCAGTGGTGGGTCTGGGGAAAGGGCAATATGCAGAGAGTAACTTAAAACCTGAAAATCRAACCCAAGATGACTGACATTCTCACAGAGAAGATCTCCATCTGACAGCAAATGTGATGTACAAGCACAGACTTCACTGCAAGGGTGAGGGGACTGTCACCCAGTGGCAAGGCCAGGTGAGAGGTCAAGGATATGCTGGATTTTGTGAACGCCTCCTGCCTTCTGCCATTTGCAGAGGACTGTCCTGCTCTGCAGGATGTGTTGTTCTGCTTGGCACAGACTCTTCCTCTCCCTCAGATAAGGGATCTTCATCACTCTTGGCAGAAACCTSTTTGGCCACTGCCCAGATAGGGAGGGGTGCAGGTCTGCATGATCAGCCCCTTCTGTGATCAGTTTGATGTCAGTTCTAACAGTTCTGCTTCACTAAGGCCACCAGGGACTGACTGAGACACTTTGCTCCAGAACTGGGCTGGTTTCCTCTCTGGAAACACCCTGCCTTCCYCCCATGCTCTCTGCATTCACCAGCACAGACAGAACGCCGATTTGAATGACAAAGCATGACCAGCTGCCTTGATTTTCTGTCTCTTTTTGTAGCTAGACACCCTCAGCCTGCCTGAAGCAAACCCAGCCAACAACATTGCTCCTGAGCCACTGCATGGCAAAAGCAGCTTTGATCAGTTCGCTTTGCTGGGACAAAGAGCTCGAGGGGAACACGAGGCCAAAGGCCTGAAGAAAAAGGTTTGTCCCAGAAACACAGCTAGAAAGAGAGATCTCTACAAGTGGGGAACAGCTGGGATGGCATTGTATTCATCTCAGAGAGGGAGAAAACCTACCTCATCAAAGGCACTTTCCATCACATTGCCACCATTGTTGTGCGTGTGACATCTCTGTGATTTTATTGACACCAGAAGTGCTCAGTGCTGTCTGCAAAGTGACTCAGTAAAGCTAAGTCTCCCCTTGATTTTCTCTGCAGGTTATCTCATGGCTCTGCCCGATTGTTGAGATGAAAGCTGGTCAGAAATTGCAAGGGCTGACAAGCACCCTGAAGATTTTACATGGCAGCCTGTGGCAGAATACCTACAGGACAGCCGCCTTTACAAGTCTATACCACRCTTGATGATAATTTGTAACACTCACAAAGCCTCAGCTCCCAGTGTCCTGGGATTAGGCAAGAAACTTGAATTTTTAGCCCCTGGAAGACTGTAGAGAAAAGTTTCACAGGGAAAACAGCTAGCAAAGAACATTTTTATATCGATTCCCCGGCGTTTGCATCCAGATGCTCAACTTTAGCACGCGTGCTGCTGACAGCGTTAATATGAGTTACAAGACTCTGCAGATCAAACTCAGCCTGACAAGACAGTCCAGAAAACAGCCTGTTCTCTGCAGCATCCCACACCGAGGAGCTGCAGGAGCCTGCCCTTTCCCCAGGAAGCAGCCTGGCTTCTCAGCAGAGCCCCACGAGGAATCTGGCTCGCCAGACAAGGGGGGATAGTCTGGGTGCACACTAATGAGTGAGGCTGAAGGCTGTCAAACCCACTGTGATGTCTCCCCCTCAGCCAGATGCCATCCCAGGAGGGCAGCGATGCCCTTTCCGAGGGCACTTTCCGCAGCACGTGTGCCTTGAGCGCAGCCCCCGCAAACAAACTGACCTTTACGGCRGGTTTCAGGTCATTAATTAGGCATGCTGCCTCCATGTTTATACAGCTCTTCCACTCCTCGACTCCAGCATCGCTTCCAGCATCATCCCCACCGGGGGGAACCGGGACCACCCTCCCTTGYTGCCTCTCGGGGAGAAGGAGCTGAGAAACGTTCGTGCAGTCTCGGAGTTGCTCACAGCACGAAGCAAATCGCATATGGAGAGATAATCTCTGGAAAGAATCGCTATGGTAATAAGGCTGCAAAATGTGTGTTTTGAGCAAGCAGCCCCAGGAATTGTTTATTTCCAGAAGAGCAGTGAGATTCTGGCAGGAGAGAAAAGTAAAAAACATTGGTGAAGGASTGAGATTTGGTTTTCAGACAATTGGGTTCAGGTCTAAAGGAGCTGGACAAACTTAAGACCATCTCAAGGTGTGGCAGCACAGACCTCGGGGGGGAACCACATGAAAGGGGCAACCATTGGAACAAGGTGCAGAAATTACTGCTCAGCAGAAGCTTTCAAGAGTAACTTGACACAGGCACAGAAGAGGGAAGCGTTGGAGCTGTGTGTGCTCTGCAGCCGGAGGTAAACAGCAGTCACAGTTTGCTTTGCATGAGGCCTGTGATCTGCACTGATCTCAGTATTTGCATATCCATGACAGGAAGCCCTTGCTGTAGCTGTGTGTTTGATTATGCCKCTGGGTGTATCTGAATGTATCAAAGCAGGGTGTCCTTCAGGAGGGTTTGCTTTACTCGCTGTTCACTCACCCTTGGGATTGAGGCAATGAAATCCTGTGGCTCGTGACACCCTGTGATGGCTGAGTAGCCCTCCACAGCATCTTCGAGTTGGGCAGTTTTCCTGCCAGGTCCAGCTGGCAGAGATGCACCCAAGTCACACCAAAAAATGCTTTTCCCTTCCACTGTGTTAACCCCKGGAGGAGAAACACCAGAGGAGCTACCAGGGAAGCGGCACAGACATCCTGCAGGCAAACCTGCCTTTGATGGGGATATGATGTTGCCACTGCACAGTAATACAGCAGGCACACCATSCATTTCCAAGCAGATGTTTCAAATGTTGTGATTCCTATTTTCCTTTTAAAATTAATATAAAAACTGTCCAGTGTGCCACTCTTCCAGCTTCTTTGTGACCCCAGGCACTTCTCCTCATGCACATTCAGACCCAGAGCCCTTCTATTCCCCACCTCTGCTGCACACAAGAGTTTGGGTTTTTTTCTTTTCATAGATCTCACAGCAATGGCTCCTCCAGAGCCAGGCATGTTTTTCAACTGAGTTTTTTTCTGAACTCAGCTGCTGGATGTACTTTTCTGAGTGATTTGAATAAATCAGTAGGAAATGGATAGCTGCAGCAGTGGTCTGTGCTTGCACCTAATCCCCTTGTGAGCAGGGA